TCATCTGCAAATTTTGCCACCTCACTAATTAACCCCTTTCTCCAGATCATTTATAAATAAGTTGAACAGGACTGGTCCCAGAACAGACCCTTGGGGGACCCCACTAGTTACCCCTCTCCACCCACAAAACTTACCCTTTGTTTCCTGTCTTTTAGCCAGTTATCAATCTATGAAAGGACCTTCCCTCTGATCCCATGACAACTTACTTTACTGAAGAGCCGTTGGTGAGGGTCCTTATCAAAGCCTTTCTGGAATTCCAAGTATATTATATCTACTGGATCCCCCTCGTCCACATGTTTGTTGACCCCATCAAAGAACTCTAGCAGATTAGTAAGGCATGATTTCCCTTTACAGAAACCATATTGACTTTCCCCCAACAAATTATGTTCATCTATGTGGCTGACAATTTTATTCTTTACTATAGTTTCAACTAATTTGCCTGGTACAAATATTAGACTTACCAGTCTGTAACTGCCAGGATCACCTCTAGACCCCTTTTTAAATATTGGCGTCACATTAGCTATCTTCCAGTCATTAGGTACGGAAGCTGATTTAAAGGATAGGTTACAAACCATAGTTACTAATTCCATAATTTCACATTTGAGTTCTTTGAGAACTCTTGGGTTAAATGCCATCTGGTCCCGGTTACTTATTACTGTTCAGTATCTCAGTTTGTTCCAAAACCACCTCTCATGACACCTCAGGCTGGCATATTCCTCCGATTTGTCACCAAAAAAAGGATGGCTCAGGTTTGGGAATCTCTCCAATATCCTCAGCCATGAAGACTGAAGAAAATAATTCATTTAGCTTCTCTGCAGCGACTATCATCTTTGAGTGCTCCTTTAGCATCTTGATCTTCCAAGGGCCAGCATCCTGCTTCTGATGTACTTAAAAAACATTTTACTATTGCTTTTTGAGTTTTGGAGTATTTGTTCTTCAAACTCCTTTTTGGCTTTTCTTCTTATACTAGCCAATTAGCCCGTCATAAGACAGGATTTTCAGGTCTCTCCTCCACATCGGTCTTCTCTCCTGGGCCTCCAGTCTCTCGCTCCGTCTCTCTCTCCCTCCTCTTCCTACTGCCTCCCCACCCCTCTCTCAGCTCTCCTCCGCCTCCTGCCTCTCTGTCTCTCTCTTTCTCTTCTCCTCCCCCTCCTGCCTCTCACTCGGGGGACCCCGGAGCCCAAATGGCCATTTGGGCCCCGCACTTCCCATGCAGCATGGGCCTCCCAGAGGGAACAGCCAGCATTTCAGCAACAGCGCCCTCCAGAGGGAACAGCCAGCATTTCAGCATTACAGACTCAGAGACACTGGGCTACTATATATATGATGGTGAATAACTTTACAAACTTTACAGACCTACATGCACACAAACAGAGATTGAGAGAGATTATATTTAGAATTAACAGATTTGTCCAGCGTTGCCTGGCAGAAGGCTGGGAGCTAGAGGCCTGGTCTCTCCCACCCCGAGGCTGCCTCCCAGCCCACTCAGGGCCTGTTCTCGCCATTCCCTCCAGCCCACTCAGACCCTGTTCTCTCCCCCATGCAAACCCCGCCAGCCACCAGGGGCCTGTTTTCTCTCCCCGCAACGCTGGTCCAGCACTGTGGCCAAGAGCTGGGATGGGAGGAAAGGGTTTGGGGTATTGGGCCTACTTACTCGGTGTGCTCACAGGCAAGATGGACGAGCCTCAGCCCTACTGGCCATTCCCTTGGTGGTCCAGCAGCTCCCAGTGGACACTGTAGAATAGCTCTCCCCTCCGGGCTTGCTGCCCTGAGTGGGCACTCTCATATCGCATCCGTATGAACAGCAGCCTCCCCCTTTGCATGTTATGGAAAACTTTCCCTTTCCCAGGGCTTCCAGTTGTCTTGGCACAACAAAACCCTGACCCTGCTTTAAGTTAGGAGAAGAGAAAGGTGGCAAATTTGATGGCCCTAACTCAGCGGTAGGCAATAATCTTGGAAGGGGGGGGCCACTTCACAGATTTTGGAAGTGGCCACGGGCCGACCCAGAAGGAGGGGGGCCTCAGGCAGAAGGAACGGGGCTGAGAACTACCCTGCTTGGCACAGTGATCATATTTTCGGAACCAGCTGCAGTTACTGAGAACTGTTTAATTTAAATTATGAAACAGCTTAAGCATTTTTACTTTCTCATGTTAGTTTATAAAACTTCATTTTAAATAAAGTAAAATATTATGTCCAACACAAAAGGTTTCAATGTTTTCTTTATTTATGGCAGGAGCAGGGAACCCTTTTTGGATCACGGTAACTGACCCACAAAAAAATCAGTTGGAGAGCACACAACTGAGAAGCAAAAAATCTCCTCCAATCCCACCCCTCCCAACACTTGCTAATGTGGCCTCAACTGAGACACTTTACTCCTCTGGTGCCCCAGCCTCCTGGGGTGAGAAGGGAGAGACTGAGGTTCAGGGCTTCCTATAGACCAAATTTACTTTTCTGGGGTTCTGGAGTTTGTGGATTTTATGGACCTCCTTAGGCTCTGGGGTAGGGACAAAAATGAGGGGTACAGAGCACGAGACAGGGCTGCCAGCAAGTAGGATAGGGATGGGGTGCAGAAGCAAGCTGGGAGTAGCGTGTGTGGCCAGGTGGAGGGAGCAGGAACAAGAGAGGGTGCAGTGTGTGGCCAGGAGAGATGGTGCAAGAACAAGGGAAGGTGGCAGAGCAAGCTGAGAATGCCGGGTCTTGGAGGGAGGGAAATGAGGGGGGTGGGTGGTCAGAGGGAGGGTTGGGCATGAGGGGGAACCTTA